TAGGCAGTGGCAAACCACTTCTGAAATCTTGCCAAGAAAACTGCAGGGACCAGTCCAGGCAGTCACTAGGAGTCAACACTGACACAAAGGTACCGCCCCCTGCCCCCAAATTGCAATAATCTTCTTCTGGATCATTTATTTCTTGTTAATTGAAGTTAAACCCCTTTTCCAGGCCCTCAATTTCTGCCTCCTATTTCCCACTGTGAGCTGGAGCAGAAAGGTGAGAGGCAAAACAGTGTGGATTTCCTTTTCTCCTGGAAAAGTAGGCTTGGAATAAGCATCTGGCAGAGTTACAACAAGCTCTTGCTGTTTTGATTTCTGACCTTTTAGATAGTATGGTTTGGTGCTTTTGCCTCCCTACTGTCTACAGGCTTAGAGTAAAACATAAAAAGAGGAAATTTCCTCTTCTTGTACTCTGTTTTTGCAATGTTCCATGACTTCAAAGGCAGGACTGCCTCTTGATGTATCACATATTTATGATTTTTTAAAAAATGTGACAGTAAGAGTTTCCATCTATATCTTTTGTTTAGCTTCTTGCTTCTACACTTTTGCCTCTTAGGTGATTCAACTCCCAGAATCTATTTTCAAGTTGTAAGTCTGAAGAATGCTATTGAATTTCCATCTTAGCCAAAGTTATGTTTCTTTTTCAGACAACCTAGGCTGAAAATGGCTTGTATGCTAGACAGAATGTAATACTGCTGGAAGCTTCACTGTCCTGAGTGCAGTGCAATAAAGATTTGAATATTAATGCTTATTGTGGCAGGAGAATATTACTTATTTTTGTACTGTTATTTAACTCTAGTAGGTCATAGGTGTCATTCAGGACTAAAACTGCATTTTTAAAGTAAAGAAGGAAATAGCATGCTTATGATTTTTGAAAATAAAGAACAATCTTCTTCAGTATGTCAGTATTCCTGCTTAAAAACCTTAGAGAAGTGAGTTCATGAAGATTTTTAAAAAATTCAACAAAGAATATTTTTGTATTGTCGAAGGCTTTCACGGCCGGCGTATGATGGCTGGTGTGGGTCTTCCGGGCTGTGTGGCCGTGGTCTTGAAGTTTTGTTTCCTA